GGCGAGATCAATGTTGAACTCCACTTGCCTTTGTAGTTTAAGGAATAACTCCACTGCCACTCGTGACGTGTTAGTGAGAGCAAGCAGCATATTGGTCAACAGTGCAGGATCCATTCCTGCAGACTGAAGAGGCAGAGCGTGCAGTACACAAACCATTGAAAGATGGCGCCAAACGTGGACGGAAGCACAGGGATTGCTGGAATGCGAAGCAATGCATCACATGGCCTTGGGACAGGACCCAGGATGCCCTGTGACCCCCCCCCCTCCGCCTTCCCACAACTCTTAGTGGCAAAAGAGGAAGAGATGCTTTGTGGGATAGCTGCCCAGAGTGCACCGCTCTGAATACCGCTGCAAGTGCCTCACGTGTGAACACGCTATTGCGCAGGCAGCTAATAGTGTGAACACACAACAGCGGTTTCCCTTCAGCACTCTCTGAGCGGCCCTGTAACTGCTGGCGATGTAACTCTGCCAGTTTAGATGTGCCTTACCTAATCTCTTAGGGTAAGTCAAAGACAACACGATAGCCCCTGATCTTGTTGAAATCAGTATTTAGACTATTATTATTAATAATTATTATAATATTAAATTTTATTAATTATTGAAAAGAGATTAACTGCTGATCAGCATAGATGCCCACTTAAACTTGTCTGCATTTTCCTCAGTAGAATGCATGCCCATTAACATCTAGTTTCTCATTTACCAGTTGGGATGATAAACAGGCCTATTGAGAAACCACAAACTGTTTTATGTGAGTCAAAGAAATGTGGTCATACATCAGCAAACATTACTAGTTGTAAGTAAAGGACTCTGGCTAGAGGTTGGAGAGGAGGGTGAAAGAAAAGGAACCTCTATAAATGTTTAATATTTTGGGGAGACTCACATAGAAAGAGCATCGTTAGAAAAAGTCAACAGGCATTGGTGCTTAACTCTAAAAGTGAGCATCAAATTGAAGAAATGTCAGGGGCAATTTACATTTCTCAAGTTTGTAAATGGAAAATAATTTTAGAAATTACAGGTGACAGGAAAGTTAAATCATATCATTTAAAAATATCAGCTCTACAGTATGGGCTTTGGAGCCTGCTGAGGTCTTAAAATAATCCGGTTGAGGTTTGCCGAAATAAATCGGTTAGTCTTTAAGGTGCCACCAGACTCCTCGTTTTTGTGGATACAGACTAACACAACTATCTCTCTGATACTTGTTAAAATAAATGTTTGCTTAAAATAAAGATTCTTTTAAAAAAAAATCAAAAGGGAAGAAAATTAAATGAGAGAGACATAAAGTACAGTCAATGAAAGGCACAGTGATGTTTACAGTTCGCAGAAGACACTAGCTCAAGGGTTCTGGTCTAAGCAGAAATGACCCATCATCCTGTTCTATAGTGTTCCTATCCTGCACCCATCATGGTGGTATCTTACAGCCATTTAGTGGCCTTTGTGAAATGTTTTACTTTTTCCCACCTCTAGGCTTTTATATGGTTATCACTTCAGTATCTGAGCACCTCACAATCATTGATTAAATTAACCCTTACAAGAGCCCTGTGAGGTAGTAAAGTATTAGGACTGTGACTCAAAAGTTCTGGCTCTGCCATAGACCTTGGACAGTCTCTTTGTGCCTCGATTCCTCATATGGAAAATGGGGATAATAGCACTTCCTTGGCCTGTGTTGTTT